AGACAATTGAGGGTTAAATGACTTGCCCAGAGTCACACAGCCAGTAAGATCAATTATCTGAGTCTAGATTTGCAATCAGGTCCTCCTGACTCCAGGGTCAGTGCTCCATCCACTGCACCACCTAGCTGCCCCTCTAATATCTTTTTAGAGGCCTTCTTTCAACCACTCTAAGGGCATAAAAAAAGAAAAAAGAACTCAAAGATGAGTCTCAAGGAGAACTGATACAATGAGAAACACCCTGAGTTTGGAATCCAGAATATCAGGGTTCAGATCCTGCAGCTGGCACCTATATGACCTTGTGTGACCTTCTGGCCTCAGGTTCCTCTTCTGTAAAATGGAGGTAGTGAGACTACATGACCTCTAAGTCTCTTCCAGCTCTAAATCTATGATCTGATCTACCTAAAACTTTGTACCCTTCCACTCCCTCCACCTCCTCCACCCACTTACTGCCCCTTGATGCCTTCATCTAAAAATCTCTCTAGAAGATGGTGTTCTCTATTTCTGATTCTAATGTTGGCACTTCCTGACATTTGAGGATTTTCTAGAGCAACCTAGAAGCCATTACCCACTTTGCTCTGTGTGTGTGTATGTGTGTGATGTCCAAGTGCTGACGTTCAAGCACTTAACGGTGGTCCCCAAAAGACTTTTTTGGTTCGAAGTAGATCTGTGGCTAGAGGATGTTTCCTTTAGGGTCTTACCTAAGTCCATATGGACCACTAAACTGGGCCCAGGGGTTCTGGTTCAGCTGATCTCTAACCAAGATTGTTGGTCTGGTTCAATATGAGATATAGAATTTAACCTTCTTCACTTACCTCTGGTTACCCAGTTTCCTAACACACGAGAAAGTTCTTATGGGAACGCTCTTGGAAAAGGTAACTGGCTTCTCAGTGGAGGCCAGTTCAAAGGGCAGAGGCCGGCTGGGGGCCCCATGAGGCAGCTGTTCTGCCTCATTGGTCTTGTATCCATGAGGTCAGTGGTTCTGGTACAAGGCAAAACTGCATGACACCACACGCCCAGGTTCACCTAGAGCGCAGAGATCAGAAGGGCCACAGCATAGCCTTTCCAGGTCCTCTGACAGTGTTGTTCAGTCCTCTTACTAAGCTGAATACAGCTACATTCCTCCTAAGAAGATAGGTTTCATCCTGTGGAAAGGATATTGACTGGGTCTGGAGTCAAAAGACCTAAATTCATATCCTATACCTCTGATGATTACTACCATTGAGACCACGGGCAAGCCTCTAAACCCATCCAAGCCTCAGTTTCCTCATCTATAAAATAAGGAGGTAAGACGAGATGACCTCAAAGGTCCCCACTAGCTCAGGAACTATGATCCCAATACTAACTGAGCACCAAGAGGGTTTAAAGTCTCCCAGATAAGTGCTGTGAGGTGATGAGGCAATTCCGCAAGCAGACGGGACAGCACTTTCACATGAACTCTGACTCACCAACCTGAGTTATCTCTTCACAAGAGGAGACAAAAATTCTAGCGTAGCTCCCCATAGTCAAGTACTCCGTACACAATGGGAACTGAATAAAAGTTGGTTGACTGGTGAAGGTGGGGAAACAAGGCACTAATGGGTGGGGAACCTGCCTTGGCTTAAAGGCTACAAGTGGCCCTTTGACTTGAGGACCTAGAGGGCCACGTGTGACCTTGAGGCCCCAGGCAGGTTCCCCACCCCTTCCACAAGTACCTGAAAAGGCACTCTCAAGAAAGAGGAGCAAAATCTGATAAAAGGGATTGACATATTTAAACTAAGCAGTGTGGGCAAGGTATAACAGGGTCCAGGGCTACCGGATTGTCCCCAAAGAGAGACCCAGAACAATGAAATCAGAGTTTAGGAAAGGACAAAGGAATTAGATATCTAGTCACCTGGGTTCTACTTGACCTCGATGCCTGAGTCACTGAGTTTAAGACCATAACACCACTGACTTAAAGTCAAGGAACTTTTGTGTTCCAACCTCTTCATTTGCAGCTAAGGAAACCGAGATCCAGTGAAGTTAAAATGACTTGCCCAATGTCATACAGGCAGTAAAGGGTAAGAGCTAGGATTTGAACACAGGACCTCTGACTACAAATTTAGCAGTTGTTCTGCTGCAACATGTAGCCTCCCTTTCCTTGGGGCATCAATTTCTTCCTCTATAAATTTGGAAGAATTCACTAGCTTCCTTTCTCCATTCAGGCCCTATATAAAAATATAGGGTATGCTCTGAATCTCACCAGAAGAAGAAGACATAGAAGTTGACAGTATTCAATAGTTATTATAACCATGCCAAGGACAGTGATTACTGACCCTGGCTCCATTCAGGGTCACTGGACAGAAGGTGGCCCTAATAATGACTCTAATCTCCCCTGTGGAGCTCTCAGCCTTGTTCCAGAGTGAGCTATAAAGCAGAGGTGTCAACCTGCCCAGGCTCTGAACCAGATTAAGATGTAATTGGGAAATGTTTAACAACATAAATAAAAACACAATAAAACAGACAATGCTAATTTGTGGTTTGAAAATATTAATTTATGGTTTCCTAAGTCAATATGAGGCTGATCAGCGGGGATGTTTCTATTTGAGTTTGGCATTTTTGCTATAGAGGCTAGGATGCTGGGTTTGGAGTCAGGATGACCTGGGCTCACACCCAGCTTTAGTTAACTTTGTTAACTTTAGTTAACTTTAGTTTAACTTTGGATCATGAACAAGTTACAATTTCTGTCAGCCTCAGTTTCTTTTTTTTTTTCTTTTTTTGGAGGCAATCAGAGTTAAGAAACTTGCCCAGGGTCACACAGCTAGTAAGTGTCTAAGGTCAAATTTGAACTCAGGTCCTCCTGACTCCAGGGCAAGTGCTCTATCTGCTGCACCACTCAGCTGCCCCAGACTCAGTTTCTCCATCTGTACAATGAACATAATGATATCTATAATACCTCCTAAGGTTGTGAGAATCAAATGATATCAGACTAGAAAAGTGCTTTGCAAATCCTTAAAGTGCTCCATAACTGACAGTTGTTACTAATATTCTGTTCAAGGCTAATTATGAAAAGCTGGCAGAGACCATTTTAAAAGGGACAATTCATGCATCTCTCAAGAGAGAGAAGCAAAGCAGTGGCTTAGAGGAGAGAGGATTCTTCCCAACTTCAAACTCCATCCTTTTCCACCAGACGAATTGTCCCCCAATTCTTTCTTTATGTTCCTTCTGTCTCCTACTCCTGTTCCATTGTGCTTTATTTCTACTAAATAGTTGGTAGGTACAAGAGCCAGCCATTTCAACTAGGTAGTTGGTAGATACAACAACCAGGCATGCTGACTGCAACAAAAAGTCATAGCTGAAGGCCTGAAATCGGAAGAAGCAGAAAGAAAAATACTCTAAAAAGGTCATTAAGAACTCAAGAAGCAAGTAGTCAGGAGCTATTTTGTGCAATCACAGTCTGAATCATCAAGAAAAAAATGACATCATGATCAGTATACTCTGTTTCAGAAAGCAAAAGGCTCTAACAGTTTAGAAATATTCAAATTAAAATAAGAAGTTTGGGAGCTTTAAAGGGTAAGGTTTTGTCATATGGAAAATAAATTTAGGTGAGATGGTTCATTCCCTGACAATGTCAAAGAAATGAAGCTTTGTTAAATGCACAAATTCAAGAGGGAAAAGCACTGAGTCAGAGGACCTGGGTTTGAAACCTGGCTCTATCCCTTACTAGCTATGTGACCTTCAGCAGACAACTCATTTTACATCCCTAGCTTTCAGATTCCTCATCTGCAAATAAAGGCATTGAATTCAATGACCTTTAAGCTCTCTCCCAGCATTAAAACTGTGACCTTCCCTGCTGGATTCCATTACTCAAATGAACCTTCCCTTCAGTAAACCAGCCTGCCACCTCTCTTCTAAAAGCAACAAAGGAAACCACAGATCCCATCTAAGGCCTTGAGACTAGAAACACCCCACTCCCCAGAATACAAGAGACAGCCTTTCAATTATCCTCTGGCTGTTGTACCCACTTACAGAGGACACCCAGTCAGAGACAGAAGACACATGGAGAGAGGTGCACCCATAGAATCATAAGACCCAAACACAGAAAAGCTCAAAACTTTGGGCAGAAGTAAAAGCAGAGAGAACTTGGAAGTATAGGGTGGATAGGATAGGAAAGTTAAAAGAGAAGCAGATAAAGGAACAGAAACAATAGTGGTCTTGCAGAACCTTACATTCCTGACTGCCTCTGAGGTCAACCATGGCAGTTGTTCGAAACAAGGCACCATTTCTTCACTTCCTAGCAACGGGGATCAGGGAGGGAGAAATGCCTCAGGTATCCAGGCATTTCATATGTCCCAGACTGGGATGGTATTTCTCAGAGGCATAGGGAATTGGGAACAGAAAGATTAGTGGAATTTCCTTCCTGCCCCCCACCCAATGTAGTACCAATGATATAGTAGCAGTACCACTTGGATCGATTTCAAGGATCTAGGATTTACAGCAGATCACAACTATCACACGGGTTCTAAATCTTGTTTTGTATGTCATTGATCCCTTGAACAGTCTAGTGAACCTACGCACCTCTTCTCAGGATTGTGTTTTTAAATTCACTAAAATAAAATACACAAGATTTCAAAGGAAACCAGTTTATATTGAAATAAAGATGTAGGGTTTGGTTTGGTTTGGTTTTTGTCCATCCGAGTTCATGGACCCCCTGAACTCTATCCCAGGTTAAGAAGCCCTTATCTCTTAGTCTGTGGGTTGGAGAGCTACCTGGTATTCAGAGCAGTCAAGTGATAACTAATTAAGTGCCAAAGGCAGGATTTGAAGCAGGGTCTTTCTGACTGCAAATCCAGCATTCTACCCCCTCTACCATAACGCTTCTCCATGGGAAGGGAAGAGGGAAGGTGAACAGTTAAGAAGGATAACTCTGTTCCTACCCTACGCTTTACTCCCTCACCATTTCCCTGTTCTTTCAGTCCCAGGTCTCAGATCTGCTACAGCCCCCTCCTTTCCATCCCAAATTCCCCTTCCCCAATTGTACTCACAGATACAGGCAGCTGCAAGCAGACGTCCAGCAAAATATGGAGCAAAACAGCTGGGAAAGAGCGGTTGTACCATGTAGTTGGCAAAGGTGATGGCAATGATGGCCTGGCTAGTGGGCTCAATGATGAGGAGGGAAGTCCAGAGTCGGATGAAGGCCAAGAAGCTCCCAAAGGCCTCAAGGATATAGGCATAGCTAGCCCCAGACTTCTTGATGGTAGTCCCCAGCTCAGCATAGCAAAGGGCTCCAAAGACAGAGAAGAGGCCCCCAACAGCCCAGATAACGAGAGAGAGGCCAAAGGAAGAGCTGTACATGAGTACACCTTTGGGTGAAACAAAGATACCAGAGCCAATCATGTTGCCCACAATCAGGCACACACCATTGAGCAGCGAGATCTCCTTCTTCAACTTTATCTGTTCGGGTCCTGACTTAGACTCGTTGGCCAAGGAGGGCACATCTTCATCATGCTGGGCTGCCACTTCATACTTGGTGCTGTCAACCATCGTAGGAAAAAAAGAAAGTTTTCAACAGCTCCCTGGCATCTCCCTCTGAGGAAGAAAGAAAATGATCTTGAAGGAATAGGCTGTATGACCAACCCCTTACAAAAGCCGGAATCGTCACCATCACTCTTCTTCCTCATTCCCAGAGTTTCCCCTCCCACCTCCTATCAACCCTCTCTAAGGTTGAACCAAGGCGAACTAAGGTTCACCACATGGACCCTATATTGGCTTGACTGAATCTTTGAGAGTAGAACCAATCAATTAGCAAGCATTTCTCAAGCTCCTATTATGTGCCCACGTATAGAAGATACAAAGGGGAGACAGGCCATGCCCTCAAAGAGTTTACATCCCACAGAAGAGAAAACATCCCACCTCCTGGAAGGAAGCAACTTTCCACCACTGAGATCAGAAGATCATAGCTTTAAAGCTACACAGGATCTCAGAGGTCATCTGGTCTAACCTTTTCGTTTAACAGAAGAAAGTTAAGGCCCAAGGAAGTTTAGGTTATTTGCCCAAGTGACACAGGTAATAAATAACAGGAGCCAGGACTTGTACCCAAGTACCCTATCCAAACCCAGTGCTGTTTACACTGTGGCACATAATTTCCTGTAGAATAGGCCATAGAAATTACTTAACAGAGAGAAAGAATGATGGACACTACCACCACCACCACCCCCCCACCACTGAATCTCTTGTGGGGAGGAGTGGGTAAACAGGAAGACAATGATAATAATGCCTACAGCTGTTAGGACCGGAGTCTTAATAGCCTAGCCCTTCACCCGGTGCTGGGATACAAGGCTAACAGTCCTGCCAAGACATTTGAAAGGACTGTTATACAATATTAAACACCAACCTAACGCACAGTCCCTTCTGTCTCCATACGGAAGAAGGACCCCTAACCCTGGTGATCTAACCTTGGATGGTACAGAATGTTTCATGGCGCTCCTGATAAAATGGAAGTTCCATTCATAACCCTATAATCCACTCTGGGATCAAGAAGCATCTCTTGCAAATTAGAATTCATATCAAGCTGGAATCTCCCCCAATCAGCTAAGTTATCACCTGAGAGAGAAAATGGATCCACATCCAGAGAAAGAACTATGGAGTCTGAGTGCAAATCAAAGCCTACTATTTTCACCTTTTTTTTTTTTTGTTTGGTTTTTTTATTTTTCTTTCTCTTGGTTTTTCCCTTTTGTTCTGATTCTTCTTTCACAACATGACTAATGTGGAAATAGGTTTAATATGATTGTGCACGTATAACTCATATCAAATTGCTTGCTGTCTTGGGGAGGGGACAGAGAAGGGAGGGCGGGGGAAAAATTTGGAACTCAAAATCTTATAAAAGTGAATGTTGAAAACTTCCTTTACGTGTAATTGGAAAAAAATAAAATGCTAGTAAAAAATAAATAAAATAAATCAATAACTTGCCTACAGAAAAAGAGAGAGAGATAATGGCCATAGTCATCAAGGGAGGTCCAAGAATGATGGCTTTATTCCTTGCCCATATGCTACTATCCAGCAATTAGCACAGAGCCTGGCACATAGTAGACACTTAATAAATGTTTACTGATTGATCAATTGATTGATTGATGTCGCTAACAAGGGAGCCCATCACTTAAAAAATATGAATGGGTGGGCATGAGAAAAAGAAGAAAGATCCCAGTGGAGAGATAAACTTAAAAACGAACAGAGATACCTAGAGAATCCTAGGAGACACAGCTTCTCAACCAATAGAACTCATGTTAAGAAAGTAAGGGTCTAAAGAGGTTAAGTGACTTGCCCCAAGGAACTCAGATAAGAAGTAACAGAGAGATGTCCTCTGAATCCAAATCCAATGTTCTTTCTATTAAACCACACAGCAGTGCTATCAGAACCAATTAACAGAAAGGGACTCATTTGAATCTAATGGGGAGTGAGAGGGGGAAAATAAGAAGGCAATGACACATACCTAAAGACAAGAGAGACAGCTGGTGGAAGGAACCCATAGCTGGGAATACCCAAGGCAGGAGACAGCTGAGGGGAAGACAGGTGGAGAGATCACTGGGGCAAGGAAGCATTGAGAGAAAAGAGAGCTAAAGCCTGAAGACCAGAAACTAGTTAGGATAGGAAAGTGAGGTATCAGGACGGCGAAAGTCTAGAAAGTAAGACTTACACTTTTGTCCTGGATATAGCAGTCCCTGGCGGCAGCAGTAGTACTGAAGATCCAGCTAGAGTTGCAGATCTCTTCTCTTGGAGTTTTCAGCCTGTGGTAGAGAAGAAGACTGGGCAAACACGTATGGATTTAACTCAAGGAAGCGGAGGAGGAGGGGGAGATGGAGAAAGAGGGAAGGAGGAGGGGGAAAGGGGGAAGTTGTTATTAAGCAAGAGTCTAGGTCCAAGGTTCACAGGCCCTTCACATCTGCAAAAGGGGCTGGCTAGGAGCTCTTCCATCAGCAATTTTTGAGATAAGGAGGCCTCTCAGGAATCTCCTTTGTCAGCTCAGTTCCAAGACAGGAGACTGAAGGGGAGGGACAGGCAATTGGGTTCCACTTCCTCTTGCCCCCAAAAACATGCAATCCCCTAGCCTGGTTGCAGAAAGTTGGCTAAGGTGGGAGAAAGTAGGGCAGCAAATAAAGAATGAGTTCCAGTTATTTCTGTCCTCCTTGCACATCTTCTCCTACCCCTGACTCTTCTCTTTCCCTGCAACAGATTTTTCTTTAAGTAGAAAAAGCTATGTGGTGACATATGTTTGAGATACTCAGCCTAGAAATAATAGAGGAAGTGTCAGGGATGTCACTGGATCTCTATGACTTTGCTCAGTGGAGTGGCTTGCTTCCCCTGCAATACTTCAGACCACAATGGAAAGCTCTTCGGACTTCCCCTCAGTTGACTGAAGCTGGCTCTAGTTTAGACCATTACCCCAAAGCTGAGTCACAAGCCATCTCACTACAAACAAGATCAAGAAATGGCCCCCTGATCCCATCTTGCCCCACCCCACAAGGGCCACCACATGCCCTTTCAACCTGAAGTATTCCTTAATCTCCGTCTCAAGAAAGAATACCAAGACATTTGAGGTAAACAAGGACATTGCTGAAACACTTGCTGGAACTTGTACTCTGCGTGAACTGAGAGAATGTGAGTTCAAGCCCCACTTAAGCTCTTTCCTAGCTGTACACCTTGGGTAAGTCATTTCAACTCTGAGCCTCAGTTTCCTCTTTTGTCAAATGAGGTCATTGGACTATATCATTTCCAAGATCCCTTCCAACTCTGAAATCTATGCCTCTTACCTTCTTGAGGCTTTCCTCCAAAGCCCTAGAAACTTGTGCAAAATAATAATCATAATAAAACAACTACATTTATATAGCATCTTTAAAGTTCACAAGTTCACTAGTTATCTTAGTTATATAGTTATCATAAAGCTACTAGTTGAGATAGAGCTTCTGTATAGAGTTAAGAATATTTGAATTCAAATACAGCCTCAGACACTTACTAATTTGTGTGACTCTAGGCAAATTATTTCACTTCTGTCTGCCTCAGTTTTTCATCTTTAACACGGGGATAATAATAGCACCTGCCTCCCAGGATTATTGTAAGGAGCAAAGGGATAACATTTAAAAAGTGTTTTGCAAACCCTAAGGCACTAAGTGTTCATTACTAATATCTCATTTGATTAAAAAATAAGAGGTCACACAAGGACGTAGCCAAAACAGCAGAAGTTTATGTCACATTTATATTCAGCCTTAAATCCACTCCAGCCGCTTCATTTCTTTTATTAACATAGAGAACTTCACCCCACCCTAAGTGACTCGGGATAGAACACTGGGCCTGGAGTCAGGAAGAACTGAGTTCAAATCCAGCCTTAGACCTTTATTAACTGTGTGATGCTGGACAAGTCACTCACTCCCTGTTTGCCTCAGTTTCCTCATCTGTAACATGGGAATAATACTAGCACCTTTCTTGAAGGGTTGTTGTGAGGGACAAATGAGATAATAATTGTAAACTGCCTGGCACATAGTAAGTACTATTATTAAATCTCAATTCTATGTCCCTTGTCACGCTAATTAATTCTCATTCATTGCAAACAGACTCAGAAATTAGAGTGATGAAAATCCTCATTAGACACCTTTTCACCCATAATTTTTCAAAGTTCTCAGGCAGACTTTCTGGGAGTTCATAAGAACATAAAACAGGTCTAGAAAGAAGAGATCTTAGACACCATCTTTTTTTCAACCCTTTCATTTTACTAATGAGTATAATGAGGCCCTGAAAGGTAGAATAACTTGTCCAAAGTCATACGGGTGGTAAGTAGCAGAAGCAGGATTCAAAACTAGGTCCTGGCACTCCATAATCAAACAAGAGACTTCTGGCATGGAAGACAGTGGGCTTCAAGGAGGTGTGCTCATTTCCCATTCTTCCTGATCCTCCCCTTTATCCTCTGCAAAGGTGCACTCTAGATAAGGAAATGTTAGAAAATCTGGGAAGGCAAATGTATATAGTTTGATGTCTAAGGAAAAGTCACAAGCCCTTTCTTCCTGGGGCCCCTTGGCAGGATAATTCCATGCTTGGTATCCCCATTACAGCACACAACATCCCCTAGCGGACACATGGGGAAGTGGCAAAGACCGAATCTACTTGATCTAATGCTAAATTGGACAAACCAAGTCAGCCAGGGAGCACCATCAGTCAGCTAGAGAAAAAACACCCCCTCTCTATCTTCAGCTCCCATTCACACGGCATACAACAGTTCAGTGTACACGCAGCATATTGCATTCATTCTCCCCTAAATCACTCCGCTACCACGACCAACTGTGGCTGTCTCTCAAGCTGCCTCCGCAGCTTTCAACACCTGAAGTAGCCTGGATGGAGGCAGCAAAATCCCTGCCTCGACGATGGTTTTGCTCTAGCCTACCTGAGGTTTCCCATAATAACTTTTCTCCCAGTGGAGCTCCGAAGAGATCATATACACTCCTCCCTAACCACCTCCGAAATGCAGCCATCTGGGGGGCTCTGAGTAAAGTAGTAAACAAACAGCACTCACTTCCTTTTTCTGGACAGGGAGTGAGGGAAATTCCAGGTTGGAATGAGCCCCCATAAAGTCTGGGTAATGAAAACCGATTGACTCACAAAATACGGTGAATGATAGAGCTGGCAGCAAATGGCCAATTCTCAAGGGTTAACCCCTGCAGCACACTTCCTCTGGGAAACCAGGACAAAATACCCCTGAGTCCTAGATCCCCAGCCCACAGAGTAAATGTTAGGACACACTTCCTCCCTGAGAGAACTCCGGTGCCCTGCCTCCCTGTTTCCTGGCACTAACTGGTTTGTACTGCCTCCCATAACAACAGAAAGCAAATAGAAAACATGCACTTTCTCATCAGGCTAAAGCCCCCATAACCCCTAAGCATGCAACCCTGCTCCACCCCCACCACAGTTACTTTGTTTTCTAGATTTACTGTAGCTGACAAAGACAGTCTATTTTTAAAATGAAATACAAAACATATTTTGCTCCTGTGGCCCAGGGTTCCCATTAATATGGGGTTAATGTCCCTGAAAGGGGGGCTCTGCAGGGGAGCTAAGGGTAGGGTTGTCCTCCCTTATTTTTAAGTTTCGCCCTTTCCTTTCTTCTGTTCTTGCTCTCTCCCACTTCCCTTTCTCTTTCACCTCTTACCTGTCCTGTGATACTTGGGCAGGTGCAGGGGAAGAAAGGGCCACCAGTAACCTCAGGCAGCAGGTAGGGGGAGGGGTGCAGGTGTTAGCAAAAGGAGGTTAGAGAGAAGGCTAAAGCTTCAGCAGTCGCCAACTTGGGAGAAGAAGCTGAGAAGCCAGGGGTGGTGGGGGACCGAAATGAAAAACAGGAAAACACATGTGTGACTCTGACCGGCAGGGAGGAGGGGCCAGGGGATGGGCCGAAGCTGGCACAGCCCAGTCAGACTCGGGGTATCTCAAGAGGTGTCAAAAATGGCACCCTCTATCCCCCAGAACTTATCCATGAAAGGAAGTCTGGTGTGGGGGGTACAAAGCTTGGCTTCACAGTCCGGAAAACTTGGGTTCAAGTCTGTCATCTGACATACACCAATTGTGTGTGACCACAGACAGCTTCACCTCTCAATAACCCCAGGCAACTCTACGACGGTAACTTACGGGTGAGTCGTCAAAGGGATTTGGTGGAGGGAGTTTTCATTCTGGAATCTCCTTGCACTGAAGAAATCACAGGTCTCTTTCCACCAGCCTCCCCTCTGGCAGACCAGAAAATAAGCCAGGGCTCCCCCTCTCTCCATATCTGATCTATTCAGTTTCCTTTCTCTTGTGCATCTGATGGAGACCTAGGGTTTCAGAGAATTTGGCCTGCCCTTCTAGCATCTTGTTCACCCTTTATTCCACCCCTTACCCATTCTCTACCCATTGACCAGCCCCTCCTCCCTTAAATCTTCATTGTTCAAAGCAGAGTGTAAGTAAATGGCTAAAACACTAAGCTAAAGCATCAGGGCACCTAGAGGATCAATTCTAGAAAATTGTATAACATCATGGGGTTAGATAAGAGGATCCCAGGATAGGGGTGGGGAACCTGAGGCCAAGGCCACATGTGGCCCTCTGGGTCCTCAAGTGCAGCCCTTGGACTGAATCCAAACTTCACAGAACAAATCCCCTTAATAAAAGGATCCACCACAACTAAGAAGAGCACTTTCAAGCAAGGTCTATAGGGGGATGGGTAAGGAATGTCCCTTGAGAGGGTGTAGGCAGTGTTTTCTTTGTAGGAGTTCAACTGAAAAAGCAAGGAGAGATAGAAGGGCATAATGAGGGGTGGGGAAGGATTTGGGTTTTTTAAAGGGAGGAGACATTTGGGCACTTGGGCTACAAGGAAGGTGCCAGTAGAAAGGAAGAGAATGGAAATTAGAGTGCATCCAAATCAAGATGGAGAAGCTTGGTTTTAAAAATTTTTTGTCTCCTCAAGATGGAATCCCAGACTGCAGATGTTCCATCCTGAACAGAGCCAAACTCAGGGTGGTGTTTAAGCATCATTGCCCCACAGAAGGCCCTCTCACCACGGTACGTGATGACTTTTGGTCCAGGGCTATAAAATTGGCATAAACATAGAGGATAAAGTTGCTTCTGTCTTTCTCTAGAACAGAGGTTCTTAACCTTTTTTTTGGTCTGGTGAAACCTCTGGATCCCTTCTCACAATAATGTTTGCTGCCTACATCCATAATTGAAGAAAATACTAAATTTCAGTTAGAAGTTAGTGAAAATAAGAATGTAAATTTTT